ATGTGTGTGTGTGTGTGTGTGTGTGTGTGTGTGTCTGTGCATGAGTCTATGAGTGCCAGTGGTCTACTTGCCATAATGAAACTATACCATGGTACAAATACAATGCAAGATTAGTTTCTGATAACCTTAATGTCCTAGCAACCCCCCCTCCCCCCCACTCCCCTTTTCACTCCCACCCACCCCTTTTCACTCCCACCCACTTACCCCGTCCCCCAACTCAAAATACGGTAATACGTACCTGTAAATCTGAAATTCTAATTCAAGAAAACGTCCCTCATCAAAGTTTACTTTTCTCTCAGCTTGTCTTGTTTTGCTGTACACTAGCGCCCCGCTTTATAGCAAAAATGTCCGCTTTATACGCTGGCCCCGAGACCCACTGGGCGCTGGAAATTAGGGGGGATATAAAACTGTTTGCTTTATTCCGGAATATTGATTGGAGGTCAAAGTTTGTGTCGACACCGGTCTAACACGTCGTTAATCGGCTCCGAATGAGCAGGGATATCACTGAGAGTAAGACCTTTTTAAAAAAAGTGTTTTACGGCGCTCGCAACAGCATAAGGTCATATGAGAGCGCGGGACACATTAAACATTTTCAGTTTGGAATTACTTTAGAATTTTTCCCCTGGTGGCGGCCAAAGCCTATTCTTATCGATTTTGGATCACCAAGGGATCTTCAATGTGTGCAACTTGCGCGCGAGATCTCCGAGCTTTTTCGACCTTATCCGAGAAGGCTAGGTATAGATCTTACCAACCCTAAGGTGAGGTATAATAATGTGACTGACAGACAGCAGTAAGAAGAAGCCAAGGGGTAGCAGTAGAAAGGCTGTAGAAAGAGTCATGAGCCCAGAGGAGGGGGCAAAAAAATGAGGACGTGGGGGGCAGAAGTGGAGACGAAAGCAGACGACAGAAAAATGGTTAGAGAACAGAAAAATAGGTGAAATGAGAAACTTTTAGAGAAGAATATTACCCGTCGCTATCAGGTTTCGAACCTGGGGCCTAGTGAACGAAAGGTGAACACCTTAACGAGAGACCCCATTCGTCGTTTATCGGCTTCGAACGAGAAGAAATAATCACATGCATTAGAGAATAAGAAGACTGTTTCTAAACGTGATTCACTTTTTGTCTTATCTTTACATACGATTTTTTAGCTCTGAGACCGTTGAATGTAAATTAAGACTCAGTTTATTGCCCGGTAGCCAAGTGTCCAAGAAAAGAAAAGAAAACACACAACAATCAACAAAGAAAAAGGAAAAGTTGATAGCAAAGTTTAATGGTGAAATGGGCGGGTTCAATCTTTGTTTTGCGTCCAGTCGGCTTTCTCGATAAAGGGCCCTTTTCGCCATGAAACCGGTTTAGGGGAGGGGAAAAGACATTTTTTTTTAGGTGGGGGGGGGGGGGGGCGATAGGAAGAGCAAATCAGACTAGAGCGCTTTCCGTTATTGGTGAACTGAAGTGGATTATACCGGCTCGGCGATACAAACGGCGTGGCTAAGAGAAACAATGCAGACATGTAGATCGGCCTTGTTGGAAAAGTGCCAAAGAAACAGAACGATAGACAATAAATGATCGAAAAATGTAGACAGACAGGCTGACAGACAGACAGACAGACAGACAGACAGACAGACAGACAGACAGACAGACAGACAGACAGACAGACAGACAGACAGACAGACAGATAGACAGATAATGTTTAATTAAGGAGAACATGACAATGTACTTATGAACACACATCCCACAATAAATGACAACTACAGTATAGGGATGGTTGGCGGGATCTGTGGCGTGGTTAGCTCCTTATTTCCTAACAAACATCTATCATCCTTATCTCTTCTCTTTTTTTCTGTTGTGTTTGTTACTGTCTTGCAACACCTCCAATCTTCATTTCTTTATGACTTTATTGTGTTGCTACTGAAGGCAAACGAGGCAGGGCTAGGCCCAGAACAATCTACTTGGCAAATCTAAACAAATGGGTACAGCGAACGATCAGGGAAACCTAGCTTTTTTTTAGAGCATCCAAGATCGCCCATGTCTGTCGCAGGTCTGGCACACGATGATGATGACGAAGTGCTGCGAAACTCTTGCTATACCTAAAACAACAACAAAACAGTCATAAGATAAGAAATCAGGACTCACATTTCTGCTCACAGTTTTGAGCTTCGTGTTCCTCGTGTTTCCTCGGGTGGGCTGGCCGGAAGCGCCGTTCGTGCTTCGCGGAGTCTTCATCTGTTGGCTACTGGTCTCCGAGAGACCGGAAGGCGTGTTAGAAGTGTTCCCAGACATCCTACACTCCTTGGGCGACGATGAAGGAGGCGACGATGAAGGAGGCGACGATGAAGGAGGTGGCGACGACCAAAGCGACGATAAAGGTGACGATAAAGGTGACGACCAAAGCGACGATAAAGGTGACGATAAAGGTGACGATAAAGGTGACGATAAAGGTGACGATAAAGGTGACGATAAAGGTGACGATAAAGGTGACGATAAAGGTGACGACCTCTTTCTCTGATGTACTTTACAACAATATTATAATCTCCGTGCAAGCTGGGACTGCTCTTTATGTTATTCCCCACACTGTCTGTCCCCCGTTCTTGTTTGAGGGTATAATAATACTATTGCTGGGTGTCGTTTCTCTTTACGCCCTATTCTTTGAGGGCACTGATGTTTGATGTTCCCCTAATCGAATTCTTCGCTGTTTTCTCCTGATTTGAAAGAACACAGCTGTTGGTGTTACTTTTGATTTCGTCTCTGTTTTTCTCTCCGCACCAGTTTGAAAGAATGCAGCTACTGCTGTTTGGAATTCACTGTTTTAGCCTTGTTCGGTCGGTTCCTGACAGTACATTGACGTATTAACTGTCCTCCATGTACTGCAGACTATTTAATGATCTCGACGAACCGTCTCAACCCGGGTCTTCCCTGGTGGGGAGGAAATTATTTAAATTCTGAGTTACACTGTTTGTGTCTTGAGATAGCAGTCCTGCAGTTAGCATTTGGATTTCGTTTATTAGAGAATTTACAAGTTTCGAAGGACAATCTTACTTTTTAATGTAAGAGTTTTAGGCCCCCATCGACCCAATTTAGATCATAATTTGGTAGGCGAGTTTTCGACCCTGCCTGTCAGGACCAACCCAGGCTAAGAGGGATACAACAACCCCCCCCCCCCCAAAAAAAAAGCAACAACCACCAAACAATAAAAAAAAAAACCCCCCAACCCAACAGAGATGTTCGATAAGAATTCTCTCTATTCGGGAATCGAACCTGGGTCTCCTGAATGTGTGACAGTGAAACGCCACACCACAGATAGTGGGCGAATGTCGCTTATCTCACAAAACTGTGTCTGAAGTCTAGTTGGTATTCGCCAGCTTCTATCTTACCCCCTACGCAGATTTCGAAGATGATGACTTCTATCATCACGCAGTAGCCTGCTAAACGAAGATTGATAATGTTCTGCATGTCTGTGTTTGACTGAAAGTGTTGATAGGGGCAATAAACCTATACCAGTTCACCATTTTTGTGTTTGATCGTGTCTTTTTGAGGGGTAAGTGTTTTATGGCGCTCACTACTGCTAAAGGTCATATGAGCGCGCGGGACCCACCAAACATTTTTAATTGGTAGGACATTTTGAATTTTGCCCGGGTGGCGGCCGAAGCCTAACTCTTATTGATTTTGGGCCACCAAGAGGGATCTTTAACGTGCGCAACTTGCACACGGGACCGCCAAGATTTTTCGCCCTCGACAGAGAAGGATAGGTGTAGATCTTTCCTACCTGATTGTGTCTGTGTGTACACGATACGAATTCTATTATGTCAATTGATATGGCGATAAATATAAAACCTTGGGAACAGATTGTGAAACTTCTTCGGCTTCTAATCATTTTGCTTAGAAAAATGGCGTGTATTTTTTCCTTCATTCATTATATTATTATTAT